GGTATTGCGCTTGGAGCTTGTGTGTATGTGTGTGTCTATAAGTGGAAGCCTGTCTGGGAATGGATACCTGTATTCTCTGTATCACATGATTTTCCTCCTGTCTATAAGTTCTGCTGGAGTAGGAACTTGTTTCTTCAGGATCAATCTTGGTAAATTAGAGATAAAGTGTCATGGACTAGGGTAGCATTGGCCGTCCAGGCATAAGTGGTGTGTATTTGATGGGTGGAGGAAGACTGAGCACGAGAAGAGGCCCCTGGGGATAATTCTTCCTGCACTCTCCCTGCCCATTCGTGTCAGTCCCACACTCGGGAGTATGTATAAGTTATCCATAGCCATGGAACAAATTGCCACTAACCGGGCAGCTTCTAGCTCTTTGAGCAGGGTTGGGTCCTTTCCCAAGGAACGCAAGGCATTCAGTGAGGCCATTTCTCATCTGAGTACCATGGCCCACTACAGATATTGTTGGCAGAATTCACTTCCTGTTGGCTCTGGCACTCAAGTGCCCACTTTCCTGCTAGCTGTCAGAGAAGAGCCACTCACAGCATAGACACTGTCTTTTCCCAGGCCAACAGGATCACAGCTTCCTCCGCCACCAATCAGAAAAAACTCTCTGTGTCTAAACGGCTTTGGTTAGGTTAGAACCCACATTAAGGAACTTCAGCGGTATCTGCAACATTCACTTACCATGCTAAGTTCCAGAACTTGAGCTAATACCAGGAAGTGGACCACAGGCTGTCTTGAAATTCTACCACCAAGGGAGTCATTGCTGTTTACCAGTTCTGAAAACACCTGTACAATGACTTCAGAGAGTAGTCTCCCTGAGTGTTCTTGCTTCATTTATGTTGTTATGCTTTAAAAAAAAAATTCTTGACAAAAAGCAACTTGGGAAAGCTCATGGTTTCAAGTCAAAGTCCATCATTCAGGGAAATCAAAGCAGGAACTGGAGGCATTAAATCTACATCACAGTTGAGAGCAGAGAGAATAGACATTTCCAGTGCTCACTCACTTTCTCCAGATGGCCCAGCGGGGTCAGGGGTCTTGCCTCCAAGGCTGATGGTCTCAGTTCAATCCCCAGAACCCACAGAGCAGAAGGAGAGAGCATTAGCTTCTACAGTTGTCCTCGCCTTTACACACAAGCCATGGCACTGGTGACACCCAACCACCCACCCCCACACGAGTAAGTAAATACGTTTTCAAATGTGATGATGTCCTGTCTAACCCAGGCTATGGTTATCCTTTAGTGGGGATTCTCTGGAGGGACAGAGCTAGAAAGATGAGTACATGATTATTAGATTGGCTTACAGAATGGCTTGTTACAATCCAGCATTGGCCGTTTCCCATCAGAGAAGCCAGCCAAGAATGACCGCTCTTCCAGAGGATATGGGTTGGATTCCCAGCACCCACATGACTACTCACCTTGGAAGTCCAAAGAAGCTGGTTCCAGCGTCAGCAAAGGGACCAGCAGCAATAGCACAGGGTAGATGAGCTCAGCAGTTGGGGGGGAGGGGAGGGAGACCAGGCCATGAAAACAGGAAAAGCTTTCTTTCATGTCGTTTTTTCTTGACTGGTCTCAGAAGGCACTGGCCACAATTATGATTGGTCTTCTCACATTAAGATGATCAAGACAATCCCCCACATATATGCCAACAGGATGACCCAAGATAGAAAAACCCTATATTAACACTCTTCACAGGTGATTCTCAGTTGTAGCAAATTGACAGTTAAAACTATCAAAAACCTTATCCCACCATTTGGAAAGATTCTTCACAAAGAAGAATACTAATGAGAGAGGGTAGGCAGGGTAGCATACACCTGTCATCCCAAGTTCTTAGGAAAAAGAAGATTAGGAATTCAAGGCCTTCCTCAGCTACAAAGCTAGCCCATACTACATAAGATCCTGTCTCAAATAGATGAAATAATAATGATGATGATAATAATAATAATTAATAAATGAGCCAACCATCAGTTAATTACCATGTTCCAGAAAGAGCAACCAAGTCGCTTACATGATAAAAAAGATGAGTCGTTGCTTGCAGTGTGAGCTGGAATGTTTCCAGGAAGAAAGTTCAGTTACAATGGCCTGTTCATTCATCTGACACGCTATTGTCGCAGCACTCAAGACACATATATTCTTATGACAGCCTTTAAAACACTGAGAAACATATCATTGAAGACGAAAGTATATAATATACACACACACCACTTAAGATTAATAATAAAGCAAACACAAAGCACTTCATAAAAGAAACAGCAGTGAATATGTAAAGGCTCAGTATCACTGGGTATGAAATATTTGACATTCTATTGTGGAAATGCCAACACACAAATTATCCTTGTTCGTTTTTGTTATTGCTGTAGCTCTGCATTTCCCCATACAGGGCTGTGCAAACATTTTATTAGAAATGGTAAAGAAAGGCCACTGTTAACCATACCCCACCAAGTAATTTAGTTGCAGATATAACAGCCCTGGCAGCTGGGTAGTGACGATGGTTGCTGCGCCCAGCAAGTCGTAAAGGCAACGCACTGAGGGCGGCAATGAAGGAGTCCACAGGCGAGAGTCCTGGCTCCTTCTGCAGAGATCCTGAGTTCGGATCCTAGCACTTGTGCTGCGTGATGCACAGCTGGCTATAACTCTGACTCCAGGAGATCTGATGCCCTCTTCAGATTCCTTACACACCTGCACACACGTGGCACACACACACACACAGAGTATATATACATAAGATATTTTAAAATCTTTTTTATTATTATTTTATTTAGGTTAGAAACAATCTTGTTTCACATGTCAATCCCAGCTCTCTCTCACTCCCCTCCCCCCCTCCCCACCCAATCTCCACTCCGATCCCCAGGGAGAGTGAGGCCCTCTATGATGGATCTCCAGTGACTGTCATTTCATCCAGGGCAGGGTCTAGGCCCTCCCCCAAAAGTCCCGGCTGAGAGAGCCTCCCATATTGTGGCATGGGTACTCAAAGTCTATTTGTACACCAGGGGTAAATATTACCCAGGCCCCATAGACAACCTAGGCCTCCTCACTGACACCCACATTCAGGGGGTCTGGATCAGTCCCAGGCTTTCCACACAGCCATCAATCTGGAGTCCAAGAGCTCCTCCTTGTTCAGGTCAACTGTTTCTGTGGGTTAAATCAGCCCACTCTTAACTCCTTTGCCTGTCAGTTCTCTCTTTCTGACACTGGATACCAGGAGTTTAGTTCAGTGTTAGTCTGTGGGTATCTGACTCTGCTTCCATCAGTCACTGGATGAAGGTTCTGTTTCCCAGAATCTCTGGCAGTGGGATTGTATGCTGACACTTCCCTGATTCATGTCTAAAATCCATATATGAGTGAGTGCATACCATGTTTCTCTTTTTGTGACTGGGTTACCTCACTCAGTATGGTTTCTTCTAGTGCCATCCATTTACCTACAAATTTCAAGATTCCACTTTTTTTTTCCCCGAGAAATAGTACTTCATTGTGTAAATGTACCACATTTTCTCTAACCACTCTTCAGTTGAGGGACATCTAGGTTGCTTCCAGGTTCTGGCTATTACAAATAATGCTGCTGTGAACGTAGTGGAACAGACATCCTTGTTGTATGAATGTGCATCTAATGGGTACATGCCTAAGAGTGGAATTGCTGGGTCTTGTGGCAGGTTTGTTCCCATTTTCCTGAGGAATCTCCATACTGATTTCCACTCCCACTAGCAGTGTAGGAGTTTTCCCTTTCTCCACATCCTCTCCAGCATAAATTGTCATTGGAGTTTTTTATTTTAACCATTCTGACAGGAGGGAGATGGTATCTCAGAGTTGATTTGATTTGCATTTCCCATATGGCTAGGGATGTTGAGCACTTTCTCAAGTGTCTCTCAGCCATTTTAGTCTCCTCTATTGAGAATTCTCTATTTAGTTCTGCACCCCATTTCTTAATTGGATCCTTTGGTGTCTTGGAGACTTGCTTCTTGAGTTCTTTGTAAATTTTGGAGATCAGCCCTCCGTCAGACGTGGGGTTAGTGAATAGCTTTTCCCAATCTGTGGGCTGCCTTTTTGTCTTGCTAACTGTGTCCTTTGCCTTACAGAAGCTTCTCAGTTTCAGGAGGTCCCATTTATTAATTGTCAATCTCAGTGTCTGTGCTACTAGAGTTATGTTCAGGAAACTGTCTCCTATACCAATTCGTTCATATTAAAAAAAAACAAAAAACAAAACAAAACAAAACAACAAAAAAAAAAAAAAACAAGGACAGCTGTGAGATAGTGATGATGTGCTCCTTTAACCCCGGCTCTCCAGAGGCAGAGGCAGGTAGATCTCGAGTGAGTTCCAGGACAGCCTGGGCTACACAGAGAAACCCTGTCTGGGGTGGGAGGGGGAGTCAGTGTGCCGTTCATTATACTTCCACCTGCCTGCTTCTTCCACTTGAAGCCCATTTTGAAGATATTGCAGCAGCCAAGTCCACTCACAGACACGGGTCTGGAGTAGGTGGGGCACGAAGGGAGGGTTTGGGCCACAGTGGAATCAGATCTAGGCCATCTTCTTAAGAGCAGGCAATGTGAGGAGGAGGATGTGGCCAGGTCACTTGGGCCAGGGGCCTGGCAGCCCCCTCTGGTGGCCAGCTGTTTGGTCATAGGAGAATTCTCACACCTTCTTGTGCCTCAGTTTCTCACTGACAAAAGCAGGGTAATATTATGACAGAAGGAGCTAGCATGGGAAGTTCCTAGACCAGAAGCAGCCATCGTACATGAGAGTTTGCTGGGGCATCTGTAGAACTCTGCAGAGGCCTGGGAGGCACAGCCTGCCCGCTGCCCTCATTGTCTCCCCGCTCGGTGTCCACGCCAGCCTCGTTGGCTTGTCTCCTGCTCCTCCAGCTGTGTAGTCTATCCCTGTTCCCACAGCCTTCAGCCCATCTCCTCACACCCGCAGCCCCTCCCCAGCCCCTCCCAGCACCACTCTGTAGTGCATTTCTTTGATGCATTTATCACCATTTAAAGGTTTTATTAATTTCTGTCTCTTTGGGGGAAAGTATGAACGAAGTCCCCCACTACAACAAGTTATGTAGTTGTTTCCCACATTTGGGGGTGAATTGGAGGGGTCAGAGCATCCAAAGTGCAACGGATAAACCTCTTACTGGGAAAACTGCCTTCATGGTCACAGGATGCCCCCTTACAGGTAAGTGCTGAAATGCACCTGCACATGCACACACATGTGCGTGCGCACACACACACACTCACCACACATACACACATAGATAAATAGACACATGTATACAATTTTTGAGACAAATTCTTTGAGACAAAGATCCAGGCTGGACAGGAACTCACAGCCCTCCTGCCCCAGAATCCCAAATGCTTTAACAGGCCTGAGCCACCATGTCTATCTCTCACCTTTTGAAATTATTACATTTTATTATGTATGTTTTATAGGTCTCCCTCAATACGGTAACCACCTTCTTCCAGTTTGCCCAGGACTCTTCCAGTTTTTGCTCTGAAAGCTTCCTATAAATGCCAATCTAACAGCCTCTGCTCAGGGTGAGTTGTCTGCGGTCAGGGACCAGCCCACTGCTGTCTCTGTGCCTGAACATCCACTACCCTGTAACAGCTCCCAGTTCACGTTCCTGGGATAGATGAGGAATAAAGTGGTGGAGACAATGGACTCGGGAGAGGTCATTCACTGTGCAGCACAGCCCTGTGACTCAGAGAGACAGACCTGGTGACAACCCTTTCATCATCATCCGTCAAGGCTCAATCCACCCTGCTGCTGTAACTGAGACTAGCCACCTGGTTCTGGCACACTCACTGGTGTTTATATTCCTGTCCCCATGCTTACTTGGATGCCTTCAAGGCCAGCAGTCACTTTGCACCCTGAGATCAACACACACAAAGTCTGGAGACCGGGTGATCAAGGCCAGGCGTATACTTGGAAGTCAGCACAAAAGTACATGTGGTTTCCTTGTGGACTGAATGCCTGGAGCCAGACCGTCACAAAACCACACTTGGTTTGTCTGGGCTCTGAGCTTTCCCTCCCACTGAAAGCTATAGACAAAGAATTCACCGTTCACAGAGAAAAAGAAAGAAAGACAAAAGAAAAAGAAAGTCTAAACAAGAGTAAGAGGGGTTAGAAGGGTGTCTCACAGAGTGACAGGTTTCTGTTTCCCTGCAGTAAAGACCTACAACCCAGTCACTTAGTAAATATAAGAGAGTTGAAAAGAAGAAGTCTGGGATCCCACCCTGCATCACAGGTAACTATGAGGATGACTCCATGGGCAAATTGATAGGCTAGAAATAAGCGCCTCTCCTGTGTGACTTCGAGAATTGTGTCTAATTTTCCCCAGCTATTAGATGGGAATGCCATTTTCACTCAGACTTTGCTCGTGGAGATGTTTTTCAATCCCAGAAACACCAAAAAAATTAACTCTAAGGATAAGTGATACTAATTTAACTTTGGATATTAACAATTAATATCCATCCTTGAAGCCACAAGGGTAAATATTTCAGAATATATGCCTTAAATAAGAGGGGTAGGGACTTTGAGCTATGCACTGTGGATAGGGATGTCTATCTCCTGCAGTTGGCATCACAAACCAGTGTAGGTTCTACTGCAGGGAAGTGTTCCTACTTCTTGGCTCACAGAAAAATCCACCTTGTCCATTGTCCCTCTTAAAATTCCCCTGCTCTGGGCAACCTTCCTTCCACACTTTTGTTTACCTGAGGCTTTCATACTTTTGAACTCCCTTTGTGGCCGGGCATCCTTCCAGTCCCCCTGCCCCCACCCTCTGTGCGGGTCCCGTTTGGTTTCTTTACATTCGTCATTTTGGTAGCTCCCACTTCAGTCCAAACCACAAACTTCTGGGGACAGATCCTGTGCATTGTAAATTACTTACCGTATTCTCCCAGAGCCCAACACAGTGCTCTGTTCAACGTGGGAGCTAAGTACTCATTAAATTGAATCCAAATGAGATTGAGGCCACCGGGTCTAGCCAGCCAGGGCTGTATAATAAAACCCTATTGAAAAAATAAAATTGAATCCAAGTGGGACAGTGATGGGGAATGTTCTATGTATATGTTTGTTTTATTGGTTGATGAATAAAGCACTGTTGGCCAATAGGGAGGCAAGATAGGTGGTACTAAGAGTAGAGGAGGAGTCTGGGAAATGTAGTAAAGAGAAGTCGCCATGTGATCCAGGCAGGAAGTTATATACCAGGGCAGAATTAGTATATAAGCAGGGACAAGGGGGAAATCGCCTTCTTCTCTTCTCTTCTCTTCTCTTCTCTTCTCTTCTCTTCTCTTCTCTTCTCATCTCCTCTCCTCTCCTCCCCTCCAACTCCCCTCCCCTCCTTCCCCCTCCCCTCCCCTCTCCTCTTGTCTCCTCTCCTCTCCTCTTGTCTCCCCTCCACTCCCCTCCCCTCCCCTCTCCTCTCGTCTTCTCTCCTCTCCTCTCCTCTCTTCTCTTCTCTGCAGAGACACTGAGCCAACCATCATCTTGTAGCAGACAATGGATTTGCAGGTCTGGTAAGCCAAGACCACATGGAAATATATAGATTAGTTGTTACGGGTTAAGAATAAGAAACCCAAGTCACCAGCCAACAGATTTATACTAACATAGCGTCTGTGTGTTTCTTTGGGACAGAGAAGGGTCGCAGGACCTAGCTGGGTCAGAGAAAAACATCATGTTACAGGACAGTCTCTGAAATTGACAGGAACAGTGGATTGAGCCGAGAAAGGAGTGTGTCAGAGCAGATAGTGGTTAGGTCAACCTTAGGCCTCAGATGAGTGGAATGTGGCTTATGTCACAACCATTTTGCACCAATAAACAGCGTGCATGTGCACGTGCGCGTGAGTGTGTGTGTGTGGTGTGTTTATTGTGTGTGTTGTATGTGTATATATGTGTTGTGTGTGTATTGTACGTGTATGTGTGTGTTGTGTGCATATGCGTATTGTTTGTGTGTGCTATGCTTGTATATATGTATTGTGTGTTGTATGTGTATATATGTGTTGTGTGTGTATTGTACGTGTATGTGTGTGTTGTGTGCATATGCGTATTGTTTGTGTGTGCTATGCTTGTATATGTGTATTGTGTGTGTTGTATGTGTATATATGTGTTGTGTGTGTATTGTACGTGTATGTGTGTGTTGTGTGTATATGTGTATTGTTTGTGTGGGCTATGCTTGTATGTGTGTATTGTGTGTGTTGTATGTGTATATATGTGTTGTGTGTGTATTGTACGTGTATGTGTGTGTTGTGTGTATATGTGTGTATTGTGTGTGTATGTGTATTGTTTGTGTGCGCTATGCTTGTATGTATGCTGTGTGTATATGTGTGTGTTGTGTGTATATGTGTACATTATGTGTGTATGTATATTGTGTATGTATGTGTGTGCTATACTTGTCTGTGTGTTGTGTTTTGTGTATGCTGCATGTATGTGTCTGTCTGTTTTATGGGTGCTGTGTATGTGTGTTTTGTGTGTGCTGTGTTTGTGAGTGCTTTGTGTATATATGTGTGTATGTTGCATATGTATTTTTTGTGTGCTGTGTATGTTGTGTGTCTGTATACATTGTGTGTGTTTTGTGTGTGTGTGTGGTATGTGTATGTGTGTTGTGTGTTTTTTGTGTGTGTTTGCCATGGTGTCATTTATCTGGAAATTTGGAATCTCAGCTGAACAGTACCTGCCTCTTTCAGGAATCTTACTTGGTAGCAGGGCCTTTCAGAGGGAAACCCAGGCCCATTCTTGTATATGGCTGTCCATAGGGCCTACATAAGTCATTTTGATGTCAGAGAACAGGGAGTCAGGAATGAATGTGAACTAAAAGCCATGAGGGCTTGTTTGATCATGAGGCATGACAGAGAGGAAAAGTCTGCAGTCTCCATGGAAAATTTTCCACCCTCTTCCACCAGCTGTGGGGGTGGGGGGAGGGATGTGTAATAATTTGCAACTCTGCCCAGAGGATGAGTTGTGTCATTTTTCCTGCAACAATCTGTGCTGCTGGCTGACAGCATGGGATTTCCTCCTAGACTGAGCTGGCAACTGCTCACACAAGTAGCCAATCAGGCTGTGCAAAGGGAGCAGCTTGCTGGGATCTCTAGAGGGAGGAGGAAGGAGAGGCGGGTCAACTTGGCTCTGTAGCACTCAACACTCACCAAGTTCTGTTCATTCCGTGGGATTTCACTCCTCGGTAGCCCCCATATCTACATCCCCCTCCCTCACCCCCCTCCCCCACCCTCCACTCCCACATCATCCCCCACTAGCATACCTAACACCTGACAAAAGTCCTTGGTCTAGCCCTGCCTGGGCCCAGGGGCTGCAAGGCTGCTCTTGCACCCTGCAGAGCCTGAGACAGTGCTATGAAACCCAGGGAGGCTGTAATGGCCACCACAGGCCCCTGTATTTGAATGCTTAGTCATCAGGGTTTGGATTAGAAGGGTTGAGAGGTGTGGCCTTGTTGGAGGAAGTGCATCACTGGAGATGTGCTTTGAAGTTTCAAAAGCCCATGCCAAGCCCTGCCTCACCCTCTCTGCTTGCAGATCAGGATGAAGCTCTCAGCACTGGTCCAGTGCTGTGGGAACACCAGACCTTGAGCAGAGACCCACTTCCCCTTCTGCCTGGGAGTAGGCAGCTATAAGACAATGTTTAGTAAAAACATGTTTACTAAAAACGATACAATAAGTTCCTGGCCACTTCCCCTTCTGCCTAGGAGTAGGCAGCTGTAAGACAATGTTTAGTAAAAACCTGTTTACTAAAAATGATACAATAAGTTCCTGGGAAAGGCCTTCCCACGCCCTGACCTTGACCTTGTCCAAAGACTAACCGCACCTTCAAAAACCCACACACATCCACCTCTGGTGTCAGAGCAGAACCAGCCAAGGGAGAGGAGAGAGCAGAAGTTTCTCTGGTGGGAGCTTTTCTTAGGAAGTTTTTCGTGAACCTTTTTGGAGCCTGTTTAAAGTTTTCTTTATATCATTGAACGAGTCTCTGTGTTGTCAATACCCGACACCCTCCGCACGTTCTCGGACATAGGCCGCGCAGCAGACGTGACAATTGGAGGTCCCACTGAGATCGTGAAAGCGAGGTAAGTGGACGGGGTTAAGAAACTATGGGGAATAGTTCCGGGAAGCTAGAATCATTGCAGTATCAACTAAAAAAGTTACTTAAAGAACATGGGACTGCAGTCAAGTCTAAAACC